CACCTGCCACATAGCATGTGCTCAATGTAAAAGCCAGAGCTCTTTATAATTAAAATCCTTGTAGAAATTGCATAGTGCTTTATAAAGCACACACACACTGTATTTATTTAACTATTTCTTTTTTAGTGGGCTTCCCAAGAATATTAATTGTACTGCCCCTATAGACAGAAAATACTGTGGGGGGAAAAGACTTGGTCTTCTGAAATGGTGCCTACCAGTCAGTGGTTCTTTAGTGTTCCTATATGAAAAGAATAATTTTGATCACATGAATTGATCATATCAATATTGTTTGCACTGTGTTGACTTGATAAGATAGTGTGGTGACACATGACTAAACTTGGCATTGAGATTGTAGATCCTCTAAGGCCACTGCTTAGTGTGATGTGTGTCAGGTCAACAGCAACTAGGAAATATGGAGACCTGGGAACTTAGAAAACCATGTGCCTCAAAGTCCCTGAGAGTTCCCACTTCAACTATCCCAACTCTCTTAGATTCCACTTGACTCTGTGTTCCAACCTGCAGTTTGAAATTTATGGCCATAGACCCAATCCCAATTTATGACAGTGACCGGCTCCAAAGAAAATGTGAGTCAGAACAAGTCATTTTGGAAGACCTTTGAAACTTTACCTCGCCACTCCTTCCTTAGTGACGAGTTTGTCTAGCTGGACCCTAGAAGATTCATAGATGGATTCTCCCCTGAGCTTTGGCTATTAGAGCTCAGAGCAAGGTCAGCCACAGGGAAGGGCATCAGCTGGGACCTGAGTGTGCACTGCTTTACCTGGCACTGCCTATTGTGATGTCATGAAATCTCAGTCTGGAGACAGAAACTCTGTAGTGGAGAGGGGCACAGGCTTGAGAAATGTCCCTAATATGGGGGCTCGCTTTCCCACTGCCGACACATCTCAGCCTTATGCTACTTGGTTTCTTGGTTTGTGGAATATGGGTGTTGTTTTCTAGGTATCAGAGGCAGACACAGGTGGCAGCCAAGACAGAGGTACGTGATAGCCACTCTCTCTGGATACTCACTCTCTCCATCCTGAAACCCTATAGGTTTGTCTAAATGCCCATCCTCTGGGC